GGGCTTTGAGGCTTAGTTTCTGTGACTGCAGAAATTTCTGCAGCCAGACAAACGCATTATGATCTCTGCCTTCATTAAAGAAACTTCCTATAAGGAAGGAAATTCTCATAAAAAGACAATAGTCTCATCACAAGAGTGCCCTTGCTTTCCTGAGTCACTGTGGACCTGACTGTCAGAGCCATGCCCTACTGCTTGCTTTCCTCCTAATCCTCCAGTCTCCACCAGTGAAGTCTCTCTGGCTAAATATATCTAGAGATATTCTAAGTACTTGGTGTACTATTTTAAATGTGGGCGTCACTAACTCCTACAGACCAAGATAGCTTAAAAAAAAAAAAAATTTCTTTAGGCGGGTTGTACACAACCCCATTTTTTGTAAAAACCTGTCAACCGTGAAAACGGATTACTGCACAAATAACAGCCCTCAACCAACAGATGCCTTCGCTTTATAGACTTGCCCCAGAAAACACAAATCGGCCAGGAGAAAATTGAAGAAACCAATGCAAGATTTCTAAAGCAGTATTAAAATGACAGAAGTAGTCTCCGAGACCGCTTGCTCTACACACTCACTGGAAATCTTCTATTTCATACTGCTTTTTGCTGCAGTATTCAGCTTTAGCTCTAGGCAATGTCTGTCCATCACCACGGGTACCTCGGTTGGCATCTCCTGGTACACCTGCACCCTCTTAGCTACAACTAGCAAGGCTTACAACCCAGAGCTGTTCACACATGAATTTTGTGAAATGGTGTGAGCTGCAACGTGAAAAAGTTGAGGCTCTGGAAAGCCATGGCCTACCTCTTTTGCTTTCTTTCTGCATCCTTTCTTTCCATTTTCCTGCTTCCCTTCCATCAACAGGAATTTCCTTCTCACTTGTGTCAGTGTTTCCATTAAAATATGCTGAAACACTGGACGCCACGCTAGAGCAAGAGCTTTGCTGAATTTCACTGTGGTTTGGTGTCCGACTGACACTTTTGCACCGTATCTTACTACGAACATGTGTTCATCCACCGGTTTCATGGCCCTGCATGAAATCCCTGTCTCATAGACCAAGCATCCAGGAAGCAAGTGACTGGTGAACACCATGGAGAGCTCTACCTACCCTTGCAACATGAGCCAAGCATTCCACAGAGTTCAGTTTCGACACAGCAAAGTTTGAAAGTCCTCAATTTCCTTTTTCTCTTTTAATCTCTTATCTGCTTTCTGAAGCGTGCTGCTTTGCCATTCCAATTCTGGCATGGTTTTTTGAGAGCTGTCCCTCAATGCACATTTACTTTTTGCTGTCTTTTGGCAAACCACAAGAGAGGTGAATGAGCTCTGCGTCAGAAACGATCAGGTTTAGAGAAAACCAAATACAACCTTTGGCTCTCTGAAACAAACTCCACTTCTTCGCTAAAATCCTGTTTTCCAAGTTTCTAGTGTCCATTCTCCTAATGCCTCTACTGTCCCCCTGCTCTGTCGCTGTCTCTACAAAGCTGATGCTCATCTCTTAATGACTTGTCTTTTCCTCACCTCCTTCTGCCTTGAAAAATTTAACTTCTGATTGCAATTCAGCCGCCTTCAGTTCTGTTTTTCAAAGACACCATTGTCTTTTTTGGCAGCGTGTCAAGCCCAGCTCTATCTCCTCTGACACAGCCAGTCCCCAGCCTGAGTCATCTGCCTGCCTTGTGCTCCCACATCCTCCCTGCCCGAGTGCCGGGAAGCGCCGTGCCTGCCGCCCCGCACAGCCAGCCTGACTCAGCCTCTCCTCCTCACTCCCTCGCCTGCTGCAGACCCGTGTCTCCTTCTCACCAGCTCCTCCTGGCATCCTCATCCTGGAGAACCAGGCTCCAGCCTCTGGCTGGAAGCTGCTTTCTACCATTTTATGCATAAATAATAGTATTTTTTTTTATTTAAAGCATAAGCACATTTTAGCAACCTCTTAATTCCGCTTAAATCCACATTTCAAGATGCAGCTGCAAAACTCTACGCTGACTTGCTCAAATCAGCCCAAGGGTGAGATTTGCACCTCTGCCCTGGACTCTGCAGCACAAACAGAGCTCGTGCTTGTAACACCCTGTTATCAACACCAACCCACAGGCTCCTGCTGGCTGTAAGGAAGGTTGAGGAAGCACAGATGATAACCAGAGAGCTGGGAGCATGCCAGGTCCTGAGCACACACCTGAGGTCCCAGCTGCACTCCTGTCCGCCACCCACCATCATCAGGAAGCAGACTGGTTGGGAAATTGTGTGTAACTTTGATTTTAATAACGTCGCCTCCCTGAATGACACAAGCTAAGCTGACAAAATCTGGCTCCGGTCCCCACCAGGGTTTTTGTCAGCCTGGCAAGAGATGCCAGCAGCATGCTGCCTGCTCTCAGAGCCTGCGTATCAGCGCTGGCAAAACTCTGCTGGGCTCAGCCCACTCCTCTGGGGTGCTGCTGCTGTGCCCAAGGGGAAAGATGACTTGCCTTGCCTAGTTCCCCCTTCCCCTACCAAACACTATAAACATGCCCCATTTATTCCTACACCACTACTTCCAACTGGACTAGGAACTGGGCTCTTACAATTCGCTTTCCCCACCTCCAGCTGAAGGGATCAGCCTTCCCTCTCCATGCCTCACTGACTCCTCCCATCTAATTTATTCTTTCTCTCTCCCAGCACTTAAAAATGCAGACACTTTTACTAGATTAATTCTGCTGTGTTTTGCCATGCAGCAGTGCTGTACAAAATGTAATGATGCTCCATACGTAGCACCAAGCAAGGCAATGCAGCAGCAGCTTTAAAGTTCTGGTCTTACAGATTGTCCACAAGTGTCCTCGCTGCTAGCCCCAGGCAGGAGAAACAGAGACTCAAGGCCATTGGCATGGTCCAGGTGAGCCTCTTGAGCTCACGCTGCCTACTAGGAGAGATTAAGACTTGCTTAAACAGAGGCAAGAAACATTTTAGCCTAAAGTCAACGTGAGGATTTGCTCATTTCAGGCTTAACAGAGGCCAAGCTCTAGTGCTCCAGAAAAGCTGGAGATCTCAGCTCGCCTGGTTAGTTTCTTTATGTCCGCTGAAGTTCTCTCTCCCAGTGGCATCAGTAGTGTTTGAACTTTCAGCAAAGATGTGAGGCAAAGCATTACTAAAAACGCAAATGAGTAGTTTTTTTTTTTCAATAATAAAACTAACTGTATTTCGGGAACACCTCTGGTGCATGACTTGTGGCCTCTCTCTCAAGAGTATAGATGCACCGTGTCATTTATTACTAACTCCAATCTCAAACCATCCTTTTTATAGCAAAAAGACTGTGTCTGTTTTGGGCACGTTTATTTCTCAACTGCCCCAGAATACTCTGAAAGGCACCTGGCTCTGCAAGTCTCACTTCCCCTTGCTGAAACCTGAAGCTGATTCATTAATGCATGGGCAAGTACTGTTTTTACTAAAAAACTCGCACGTGCTCTTATTCCTGGAGACAGCTCTAGTCCTCCGAGCAGCTCTGTACCCCTATGCAAAACTGCACTTTCGCTTCCTGATCCTTCAGCCCACGCCTCGGTATTGATGGCAAGTTATCGCCCTCTCCGACTGCAGTGCAGAGACCTACACAACCTGCCCGGTGGCCTCCAGGCAGTTGCCAGAAGGCAATCATTTCTAACAGGGAAATAACCCTGCCCAAACTGCTGGTCTCAGAGGACAGAGTAGTGATTGAACAGTGCCCCAAAGAACTGAAGCACCTCCACCTACGTGCAGTCTCCCCTGACCGGGGTGAGTCACGGGGCAGCACGCGGGGAGGTGTGATGGCTGGTGCTTGTTCTGCGCTCTGAGCCTGCCACGCTGCCTGGGCGATGCTGTTTGCTAATACCGCAGAGAAATGTTAGGGAAGAAGGCAATTAAAAGCTCCTAGACACTGTGCTGGAAGTCCCAAGCGGCAAGCAACAAGAGCAGGTCACTGGCGACAGGATTAACCCTGTAAAGGTAAAAAGCAATCTTAAAGAGGTGTCAAGCGCCTTGGGTTTCTGCCAGCTCCAGCAGCAGCAAGGAGTGCTCAGCACCATGCAGGCTCGAGCTATGCTATTTCCTCTCTCTTGGCGTTTAGGTCTTCCAAAAGCAAGACTTTCCATCTCCTCCTGCTCTTTGCGAGGCCCCAGCACTGTGCTCCTGACACGTCACACCCTCCATTGGACTCTGCTGCAGATGGGAGTTGCCCTACAGGGACCAGTCAGTGTTGCTTTGGGGAGAGACGGGGAAAGGGGTGGTCCAATTTTGTTAATTTTGGCTTTCCGTTTCACGAAGGTGGCAGGGTGGCAGTGGGGTCATTTGGAGGACTTTTTTTTTTTTTGTTTTTTACAATATTTTGTGGTATAGCAAAGTTTTTACATCTCGGATTTTTTTTTTTTTTTTAAACTTTATCATACCTTAAATAGTAGGAAATAAAGATATCGAAAAAGAAAACAACATTTGCAAAACCACGTAATATTGTAAAACAAAAAAAGACGGGACTTACCTGAGCCCCTAACAGGGCACTCGGGTCTGCAGCGGAGGTCTGTGGTGGGTGTGACATCGCCAGCACAGTGCATGCCGGGGCATCGCACAGAGAGGCGGCCAGCGAGCCTGGGCTTTGCCGAACTTGAAAAGGAAAACAAAAGCTAAGTCAATGATGTGCCCCAAGCCCCTTCCTAACCTGCAGAGACCCGTGTTTGCCGCGCGACTTAGACCCCTCGGGCAGCCAAACACGCGTTTTGGCGGCGAAGCACAAATACCCTGACCTGAGACAAATACCTGAGAGCACCACTGGGCTCCACTCTGCTGAAAATCCGGCTACTTATCTTCAGATTCCCAACTGCATGTTTTTGGACCTAGTTCTAAGCCCCAAGCTTTACTTTCGGTCTAAGCCTCTCTCTGGTTTTCTTTCCCCTCTGCTATATCTACTCAACCTTCCTGAAGACCTGCAGAGGAAAAGCTCTATGCAGAAAGCCTATTAGATGCAAATGAAGGTGGCACCTATTTCCTGCATCTTCAGAAAAAAAAGCCAAAAACACAACGTTCTGAAAAATGAAAAATTAGAAGGTTTGGCTGCCAGGCTCTGACCACTGTCACCTCCAACTGAAGCATAAAAGACGCCCCAATATTCAGCCAAAGAAAAGTGATGGTGCATAAAGCTGAATACACACAAATGCATTTATCAGCGTGATCCATTCCGGGATGGGCAACAATGACTGTTTTGTTGTTCTGAGGTGCTTCTAGGAAGTTTCCTTTATTCCTGGTTGGATTTGTGCTGTGTTTTGGTCTGGGTATTTTTTTTTTTTTTTTAGTGTCTCATTCTCTCCAGGACGTTTCTACAGCAGAGCATGACTTGCATTACGCCCCATTCCAGCAATCAGATCAGTGCATGCAGATCTCAGCCCACGCAGTGTCCCGCTGACTCCAGAGGGTCTCAGGCCAAGCGGATCCAACTGCAGGACTGGGACCTTAACTGTGAGCTCCAACATCCACACACCAAGCTAGGACTCGGTGTTTACAAGGCAATGCAGACGAGACCTGCCTTTGCTCTTTGGGTTTGGTTGTTTTTATATGTTCAGTATTCCCTCATCTTTTTTTTTTTTCCTTACCTCATCTTTTATATTAAATCGCGATGGTTCTTGTCTGCTTCGGTTTGACCTCCTAACCCCATAAACATCAGGATATTCTTCCCACATCTGCAAAATAAACAGACCATCAGAAGGCCTCCTTCACCCCAATTACTTCTGACATTTTTGAAGTTTTATGGTGAATGGTTTTGCTTTTTGTTTTTTGGGGGGGTTTGGGGGGTTTTTTGGGGTTTGTTTTTTTTTTTTTTAAAATCAACATAAAACCGTTAGGGAATTAGCAACCAGCAGATGGACACATTAAAAAACTGGCTGAAAAGGATTCTGATTTTTGGGTATTTGATAACCCTCTAAAGCAGCACATTTTATCTGAGTATTATCTTTATAGTGGTCCATGTTTCCACCGGGGTACAAATTACTCTCCAACTCATTCAGGCTGAAGGACAGAGTGTCGAGATACCCAGTCTCTGCAAGCAATGGTGCTGAAGGTAAGGAGGCAACACCTTGCACCTGGAATGAATGGATGTACCAACAGAACAGGACAACTCCCTGTCGCTAAGAGCTTCCATCACAAATCCTTTCCTTAGGGAAAACCCCACCAGCTGCCTGACGAGCCCAGTGACGAGACATCGTCAGCAGCAACTTCAAAAGTGAATTCTGTGTCCCAGCCAGGATGGCAAACGGACCGGGGTACCGTCCTCTGGACCGGGGCAAGGTGGCAGGACCGCCGGTTCTTCTGAATGCACTGATGCGAATGTGGTTTGGCAGCGCAGGACACGTGGGTGTGCAGAGCCAACTACTGGGGATGGTTGTGCTCTATGTGCTGTAAGCAGGCCCTAAATAGTTTAATACACCGTGCATTACAGCATGCATTTGTTCTTGCTGGATGGACAGGAGGAGAAGGGGGAGACAAGAACCGATGCCCTGAGGGACGTGAATGCAGAGCTGTGTTGGTGTCACAGGACACCAGAAGATTTACAAGGCAGATACAAACCATCAACACGCCTTTCAAACACCTACACCAACAATTCCTCTCTCCTTCAGCAGAGCTTATCCTCTTACAGTTTTCTAAATCTATTCATTCTCCTAGTTCTCTCTCCCTCCAGTCCTCAAACGTCTCTGCAAGCCACCGGCAGGAAAAGGAAATCAAAATACACCACCAGACGCAGCAGCAACTTGGGATCAAGAGCGTGATGAATACAAGGCTGCAGCCCAGCAATTTTTCTGCTACTGTTAAAGGAGTAATGGGATAACACTGCAACAGACGGATTATGAAGGTGTATATCCGTTGGGCATACGAGTACAGAGATAAATTCACATGAAAGAAAAACTCAAAATACTCCCCGGACCGTTTGAAGAACTTGTCTTTTCATCTTTTAAACGGCACAGTTTTTGGATGAGGGATCGACTCCCATGACAAATCTGAATAGCACCTAACGCAAGTTAACCTCACCTTCATGGGTGTATCTAGACAGAAATACAAAATAAACAATAATATAATAATTAATTGCATTGGTTATTCAAGTGGAACAGGTATCAACACGCCTAGGCTAGACCTAGCTAAGGAAAACACCCATTAATAGAGAAATTAAGGAAGGGAGAGGCTTTCTTATTAGAGGGTGCCCTGACCTTTTCATGTTTCATCCATGCTAATTATCACCGCGTGCATGGATGCGCTCCCTCATAGGATAATTTTAACATTTATTGTTAGGGACATACTCTTAGAAGCCCACAGAGGAAGAGAAAACTTCCTTCAGTCCCTGCTTACCAACAATAAAACAGAAATTTTAATATCATGTTACCACAGCTGCCTTATAAACACACCCTTTCCTGCCAGTCTGAACATGGGAGATTTAGCCACAACCTGAGCCGACAGCCTAGAGATTTGTGAGAGGGAGAAGCTGGTAACAAAATCCTTCGCTGCTCCCTTGCCGGTACGTGGGGAGCGCAGGCTGAAAGCGCTGTCCTTCTCAATCCGTACATACATAGCAACCTTCTCCATAAAACTCACTCTCCTGAGCAAGCTGTGCAAAGCGCAAGCCACAGCTAAGACGAACAGGATAGTTGCACACCACAAGCAAACAAACACTGACCTAACCTGATTTTCCTCCCTTCCAAATAAACTCAATTCACCAAGTTCCTGTCTCCAAATGGGTGTTCGGGCTCCTCTTTCTCACCTCGCACCACACCGTGTTGCTCAGACACCTCCACCCCTCGGGTAAAGCAGGTACCCAAGGCACAGCTTCTGCACCGGGCAGGCGCTCGCCAGCCAGAGGGACACCGCACGCATTAAACACCTGCAATCCCTTTTCCGCCTGGAGGGCAAACCTGGCTATTTGAGGGGAGTATTGCTAGGGGGTAGCTGGGAAGCTGCAGAAAAAAACCACAACAAAGATCCACTGTTCTGGACATAATAAATAAAAAAAGTTAAATAGCTTTTTTCCTCCTCCTCTTTTTAAATTTTCTTTACTTTTTTCAGAGAGGAAGACAGTGATGGAAACAAGCCAAAGCAGCCCAAATCCTAGACAAGCGTTCTCCTGTTTATAATCGCATGGGGAAGCTATACTACTTCTGAGAGAGGGGAGAGACAGGAGAGAGGAGTGGAAAGACGGAGGGAGAGGATGAAATGACAGGGTAACGTAGTGATGACGGGCACCTGCCCCTCCTTCGCCCCAGTCAGCCCCATCGCTACCTATGCGGTTCCTGAAGGGCTGTACCATCAAACACACGAGCTCCTGCTCGCAAGGATGACACCAGCAGGGCACAAGCACACAGACCAAACAGCCAACGAGTGGCCTGGGGACACCAGAGGTCGGGAGGCTGTTTGGTCAGTGTGCAAAGTGGCAGGGAAGTTGTAGTCAGCTTCATTAAGGCCCTGCTTTCTGCCCTTTCATGGTGGGTACAGTGGTATGACTATGCAGAGCAGCAGGGGCAATACCTTCTTAACATCTGCTATCCTTTCCTTCTTAGAGGCCGGTTTTTCTTTGGTTTCAGGAGGGGTCTGCTGGGATTTTGAACCCGTTGATTCACTTTCGGATTCAGACTGACTTTCAGAGGACTCCGAGCTGCTGTTTGACTCGCTGCCTTGCTCGCTTTCAGACTGGCTTGCAGAGTCAGAGCCAGAGGCTTCTTCAGATGCTGAGTGACTGATGGTAGAGAAAGAAGAGATTATATTTTAACTGTACTGTCACAGCTTTCAAACATGCAGCAAGCAAACCTGAACCATGTCCAAGCTACAGCGATAGGCTTGGAACAGCCTAAACAAGCGTGAACCACATCGTCCCAAACAGAGACCCTGCACTGGCATGCTGAAGCAGAAAGAATTCCTTCCCAGGACGGGCGCTGAACACGTGGGCCAGAGCAGAGACTCCAAATCACTGTACAGTATCTCCTGTTCATCAGCCAAAATAAAGAGTGGTGGTACCATGAAGAGGAGCATTGGCAATACCAGCAGCACAGTTGCTCCAGCATGGGTCTCCACTATACCCTAGTATGGCCAGTCATTCAAAAATCCAACATCCAATTTCTGAAAGAGGCCAGCACCCAATACTGTATGCATAATCCTATGTATTACAGTGAATATCACGTTTCTTGCAAAAAGTATAAATTCAGCAACAGAGCAGCAGAAAGGAGCTTATACAGGCACGTGGACGGGGCAATTCCTGTTTAAAGGATAACACCAATGCTGTAAAGACTGCATTTCTCAAATCGCCAGTAATGGGAGAGCAGAACATCAAATAGGTGTTAGTTTTTGGGGTTTTTTTACATTAAAATGGGTTAATATACAGAATATTCACTTAAATGCAGGCTCCTCAACAAAAGAGAGGTGAAACTATTTTAGGTGGCCAAAACACTCAAACTTTTTCCCAATCACTCCAACATCTATTTTTCATTTAAAGTCCAATTAAAGAAAAAGAAAACTCATTACAACATGTAACACACACACTGGTAAGGCAGCATTACAAACCACACCCTGTCACAACCCAAAATGCAGCATGGCAGTAACAATACTACAAACATTCCGAACAAGGAGCATCTCTTCCAAGTCAGCTCTTGATCTGCAGCTAGATGCTTTCGTAATATTTAAGGGCATGCTGCACGTGTAACATCACAAAGAGAGGCAGGAAAACTTTGCAGAGGGAAACCAGATTTTTAATTTTTCTCCTTCTGTACAAAAACTACCAAAGTAACAAGATACATCAAAGGCTCTTCTCAGATTTCACAATTCAAGAAAGAAATAATACAAAGACGGAAAAGGCAAAAGCATGTGTACAATTACATGCAACTCTAAAGAAATCAGTGCATGCTGTAGAGATGGGATCACTAGACTCAGCTGCTATTCATAGGTATATCCACATATGGATGGGGCTAATTTACACCATGGAAATAAGCTTTCTGCTCTCGGATAAAAATTCTTAAGATATCTGTGAAATCTGAGGGGGCTGGCCCCCGCAGCCAGTGCATCAGCAGAGCTGCTCCTGGCTCCCTGCGCAGCGGCTCGGCTCCTGGCTGCTGTCTCCCAGGGAGCGGGCAGAGGGCAGCAGCCGAGCGCCGCGGGAACCTGCTCCAGAAATCCCTCCGGCGCAGGGCGCGCAGCCAGGCTCCCAGCCGCCATTTTACAGCCATCCCTCTTCCACCATCTTGCGATTTCCTTGCAGTGGCGGCCGCTGCTCTGGCTCTGTCACAAGTCCTAAAATGGAAGGGTGCAGCATGCACAGGGGAAAAAAGAAACAGCGGTGAGCGACGAGTCCTAAGGCTGAAGTAACAAACGGAGCCTTTTTGGGAAGGAGCGGAGGGTGAGCCGTCACCGATGGCTGCTGCTTTCACCATCCCAGCTTGGTTTCAAAGGAGATGGGGGGATCGCATCGCTCCCTCCTAGCAGGGCTGGAAAATCGAGTTGAGCTACCACCCTGCCAGGCTGCCCAGCCGCTCCTGCCTGTCCCACTCCTACCCGTGACATCCAAAGGTGCAGCCTGGCGCACAGCCGTCTCGCTACACCCTACCGCTGCCTGTCCCTTCCTCTGCGCCTTCTGCAACTTCCAGTCCCCTCTTCTCCACCACGGCCCACCGTCGCTGGGCTCTCATCGCCAGCACCATCCACCACGTCTCTCCCTGCTCGCCTGCCACCCTGCAGCTCTCCGCACAGTTCCTCATCGAGCACAGCCACGGATCTGCTGACATCTGCTCCCAACGCCCCGCTCAACTGCATTGCTTTGCAACCGAGTCGACTTAGAGCGAGTGATTAAACTTCTCCGTTGGAGAAATTTCAAGAGTTCCAGGGTTTTCAAGAAAACCAAGGGAATTTTATTAGGAAGGATTGCCACACCACTCAAGGAAACGATGCTCCAGCAGCTCCGGGGACAGCCGGTTTCCATGGGCAGGGCTCGGCAGGACACCATCCCACAGAGCCTCCTGCGGGGATGGGGACTTGACCTCCAGAAAGAATGGGATCTGAAGGCATCCAAACCTCTACTGTCACGACGCAAAGGGGCAACATCAGGCTCTGGTTGAGTCATGCTGGCATCCCATGTTCCACGGGGACGCACGGAAGAGGAAGACACTTTCCTTCCATCAGATTTATTAGCAATAGCTGGAAGAAATCATAACCACCCAGGCTAGACTGAGGCCAGACAGCTTTGGCAGTATTTGTTTAAAGGCAGAACAGTAATTACTGGCCTCCTCCCACTCTGGAGCTCTTTGTTTCTGAAGGCCCTAAGCTTTATTTCAAGGACACAGGGACACGGCCTTTCTGCACATGAGCAGCCATAATTCATGTGTACAACATTATCTGGACACCGTAATTCTTTTTTTTCACAAGATGTGAACTGTGTCATCTAAAAAGAGGGCGACTTCTCCAGCGACATAGATAGAGGACATACACACCTGCACGTACAGGTATGTGGGCACTTGCCCTGCTAAGCAAAGAACGTAGATGCAAAGCGGTATGTCCTTTTGAAGGCTGCTACAAATAATTCTTTTTTAATAAACGACCTGTTATCAAGGCAAAAGGTTATGAGCTTGTATTTGTTTCTGCACTGACAGAATAAAAACAGAGAACTGAAAAGCCTTATTCCATAAAATAATCCTAACGATCACCAAGACAATCGGGAAGCATTTCTACCTGTCAGAGTATAAAGGATCAGCAGCGTTATATGTTGTCAGGCCTTACACTGTACATAACTGGAGATTTAAATCCTCTTTTCAGAAGGTACTTTTGGAATATGCCCTGCTTTAATGCCCCTAAGTTAACATCCAAACAAGAACTACTTTCAATTAAACTGTAAGTGGAGGCTAAGCTGTAATTTTCGCAAAATCATTATTCAACCAGTCCATACCCCTCCAAATTCAGCAGAGAAACACCCATGAACATCAAGAAAGCTACAGTTGGACCATTAGTAACTCCCTTGAAGTGAGAAAGTCCTATAAAAATTGAGATCTGCTAAGACTCAGCCAAAGATGTTCCCCTGGTTTCTAAGAAATACTTCAGGCTATAATTCTGTTTTAATTAAGAGCCTGCTCCTGACTTGAAGGAGAAGAAAACCAAATCATCCCTTATTATGAAGGACACATTCCTTCCAAGAAATAAGTAGCTGAACAGCAGCGATAAGACCCTTTACAATCAGGCATCTAAGTTTACGAGGCAATTACAGCGTGCCTGAAGCCTCCAGCCTTAGCGTTTAATATTTCACGTATGACTTAATTTTATAGGGGATCATCTTTGCTAACAGCAACAAAACATTTTATAAGCTCTCAACAAGTACAAACAGTAGATGTATTTCCAGAACGTGCAAGACAAGCTGAAAAAATGACCCAATACGCATTTCTGGAACCAAGAGCTGACAAGGGAATGGCTCTAACTGGGACCATTCTGCCCCAGACTAAAATTTGGCTTTTGACAGACAGAACTTGAATTCACCCAGGGGGATAAAGGAGAATTAATGACCCAAGACCCTCCCACAAGCCAAGCTCCTCCTAGCTCTAAGAATTCTTGTGAACATTTTGAACGTAAACAAGTTTGAATCCAAACGGCAATGTGCCACTGGGCTTCGCAAGTTCAGCGGGGACTCGGCACCAGCGAAGCCACCCCGTGCAGGCTCGAGGAGGTCCTTGGCACAAAATCCCAAGGCTGGATAATATCAGGGGCTGGATAATATCAGAAACCAAGTTTATTGTTCCCCGCCAGCAAACCTATGCTTAACCCTTAAGCATTGTTGGACACAGCTTCACATGTCCTGGGGATAACTGACACCAACGTCGCCATCCGTATCTTGGCTTGGCACCACTGAAAGCCAAAGGCAGGTAGCTGGGAGACACCTCTTCCCCTCTCCCACCCATCCTCGCTCTGCAGCCCATGTCCCCAGTACTCACCCTGTGCTTATGCCAGCACTGACTGGGCCACCAGACTTCTCCATGAGCCACCTGAACTTGGTAACATATCCGAAGACTATCCCAGAGAAACAGCAGGTCTCTGCAGGCTTAGAGAGTAAGATCGGGACCAAGCCTTTACAGGAACCAGGAACAGCAGAAGTATACTAGCTTTGGCAGTACAGACAAGTTGCGGAGGGGAAAAGGGGCAAGCAAGACCCCAATTTTGGGGCAGCAGCAAGCCAGCTGCAAGCCAACCGCTCAGTTGAGCCACCCCTGGGTCCTCAACATGCCTCTCTGGCAGTGCCAAGCAAACTGTCTGCTAACACCTCAAACATTCTAACTCCATGGCAACCTTCAAACATACACAACTGGGGTCACTGGAACCCCAGGTCAGCCCACCGGACCTGCTGCTGTACAGCACTACCGACCCACGACACGGGAGCAGGCAGACGAGCTGCAACTCTCTGAAGTGAGCAGGATGTCTTCTCCAGACCAGCTGTATCTGTCAGATCAGCTCTACCAGTAAAAGAGGCTTTTCAGCCCCCACAGCTCCTCAGCAAGCACTGCCAGCCTCATCCATCCTCCAGTGGCACCAACTCTAGACTTACTCCAAAGCACAGATCAGCAAAGCCAGTGTAGACCACCAGTTTAAAACTAGTTAAACAGACGTGTCTTCCTAAAGCGACCTACACACAAACTGTTGTACACGCAAAGGGGCAGTGACAAACCACAGAAGATGCTAACACGCCAACCCAGCTGTGTTGCTATTTAACATCTC